CCACTCTGCGCTGCACCCTGACCTCCCTGCTCCCTGTGGGGAACGTCCAGTGGTTCAGGGGGACAGGGACAGGCCGGGAGTTAATCTACAGTTTCAAAGGAGGCCACTTCCCCCGAGTAACAAATGTTGCAGACACCACAAAGAGAAACAGCATGGACTATTCCATCCGCATCAGTAACATCACCCCAGCAGACACTGGTATCTACTACTGTGTGAAGTTCCAGAAAGGGAGCCATGAAGACGTGGAGTTTAAGTCTGGACCAGGCACCCAGCTCACCGTGAGTGGTGAGTACAGCGTGGGCCTCCTTCGTCCCCTGGTGTGTGACAGCAAGTCAACAATAACGCCCTCCATTCTTTTAGCAACAGCAAGAATCAGGTGTGGCAATGGGTGCTTATGTTCATGATCTGATTTCACCCCCTTCCACAGATCAGGGAAGTTGAGGCCTGCAGAGGTCGTGCTAGTTGCTCAAGACCCCACAGTTGGTAAGTGGGGGGGAATGTCTGAACCCCCATCTGCCTGGCTCCACAGCCCTTGCCTTTTCCAATCCCGTCCAGCCCTTTGTTCCAGGGAGAAGGGAACTGAAAGTCTGAGTGACTCCCCCAGTCATACGGTCAGATCTCGCCCCTGTCCCCAGAGAGTGCCCCTCAATGTGGCCGAGTCCTCCTTTACTCAGCACTTACTGAGCACCTACTGTGTGCCAGGCTCTGCTCTGTGCTGTGGAAGCAGCAGTGGACACAGCAGGCAAAGGCTCTTTTCCCAGGAAGCTCACGTTCCCTTCTCTTCCTGTGAGGAGAAATCCAGGCAGGGCAGGGAGGAGAGAATGTGTGTTTCTTCACTTCATCCTCAGAAACATCACACTGAGAGGAATCCCTAAGAGGCCCAGACTCTCTGTTTGCTCTGACAGCCCGGCTGGAGGAGACGTGCACAGGTTGGGTGTTTGCTGTGTGTCTGTCCAGGAAACCCTCGTGTGATTCAGAGACCAACTCACACAGTCACTGAAGGCTCCCGGCAGAGCTGGGTCATCTCAGAATGTCTCTCACCCAGGGAAGAGGTTCCCCATGTGACTGATTTAGGGGTTCACTGTTGAGGCAGCAAAGAAACTCGTTTAAGGTTTTCTGCCAGAGGCCCCGGATCCTGAATCTTGAAATGTATTGCACAGGAAGGACTTTCAGACCCATCAAGCCCAATGCCCCAGGTACAGATGGGGAGCCTCAGGCCAAGAGATGATGGTGGACGTGCCCACAGTCACAGGACCAGTGTGTAAGGGGATCATATCAGAACCTGGATCTGATTCCAGGCAGGCTACTTCTTGTGCTGACATTGCACACTCTTTCGATGGCAGAGGCTGGCCCATAGTAAATGCTGGATAAAAGCTCGCTGCACCAAATCACTGAACAGGGAGCCAGCATTTCTCCTTTATGTCAGTTTTCCAAAGGTTCAGAAAG